TGTCATTCCCAGAAGCAGGATTCCCACTTCTTGCCCTCCACCAGGTCAAGGCAAGCCTGGATGGGACAGAAACCACAGGACAGGCAGCTTGCTGACTCTTCCCCAGGCGCTGGGCTGGGCCCACTATGGGCTGAGTAAGGCCTTTTCAAGCTTCTTCATGTTGGAGGAAGGCTCATTGCTCAGGTGGTTCGGGCCCTCTCCTGAATTAGATTCTATTCCCTCACTTGCCTGTGTTCACAGGTTGCCTCTGGCTGGTCTGCATGCATGAGGGTGGTGAGACAGGATGAACTATTTGGTTCATGATAAGGTGGTCCCCACAAGGAAACAAACTCATCACATATTCTCTCCCTCGCTCTTTGAGGTAGTGATTTCCAATAGTTTCTGCAGACGCGGTTGGTTTTCCTAGGCAGCATGCTCCCCTGGGAGGGGCACAGCAATTTCCCTGGAACTGTGCCCTGCCGTTGTCCCTTTCTCTCCCACTCAAGAGACTATTCTGGAATGCACAGGCCCTTGTTTTAAGATTCACCTTGAATTTGTTCTAATTGTAGTGTGATAGGAATCTTACTTCCAAAACTCAGGCGGGAGAGACTTGTCATATTCATTTTTTTCTCTTTAAGTTACCTTGTGCTTGGAGACCTTATCTTCTGTGCTGGTGGGACAATAATATTAGTAGTAGTGGGTAGGGCTTGGGAATATGCCCTGAAGCTGGGAATCCTAGACAAAGGCTCTAAGCCACTCCACAGAAGTCCTGCCAACCCATCTGTAATATCTGGAGTCCACTAAGCTCATTCCCTCCCAGGCTCCAGGCTTTTAGACAGTATAAGCCAGCTTGGCAGCACAAACAACACATGCATTTGGCCCCCAAGCCAAACCTTCCTGAGGCAAGGCTGACTTCCTGCTCGAAAACAAATAAAAAATGGGAAAAACAAACTTCATGCTAATATATTGTCCTGCCACCTAATTTCTAATTGAGTAATTGTTCGCAAATCAGTACATCACACAATTTAGGACTTTTCACAATTTAATTGTGCCATACACCCACATCACAGCTTATGAGACAGATATCACTGATGCTTTGTTCTAAAATACATGGTAACTTGGCCCTGGCCAGGTGGTTAGAGCATTATCCCGATACTCAAAGGTTGAGGGTTTGATCCCGGGTTAGGGCACACACAAGTATCAAACAATGATTGCGTAAGTGGAACAACAAATCAATGTTTCTCTCTAACATCAATCAATTAAAAAAATTGTTGTTGCCCAGTGCCCCAATTAATGGTACCAAACCCAGCCAAGAATGAGAATGCAAGCATAGTCGTATTATAATTAGGCTATGTTGATGAAAGTGGGGACAGGATTAAGACCATTTCTGTTACTAAAACTATCTTCTCCACTTACTCAGCACTTTCTTACAAGCAATTTAGTTTTCCACATTAATCTGACTGGGGACTAAATGGCATCTAGCTTATGAGAGGTCTGAGTCGACAATATGGTGATTGGTTTTTAAAAGATTGTTGCCTTCATGTATTGTTTTTTTTAAGATATATTTTATTGATTTTTTTACAGAGAGGAAGAAAGAGGGATAGAGAGTTAGAAACACCGATGAGAGAGAATCATCGATCAGCTGCCTCTTGTACCACCCCTACTGGGGATGTGCCCGCAACCAAGGTACATGCCCTTGACCGGAATCGAACCAGGGACCTTTCAGTCTGCAGGCCGATGCTCTATCCACTGAGCCAAACCGGTCTCGGCTCCTTCATGTATTGTTATAGATAGTATCTGGGCAGGGATGTAACCATTTGAAGTAGCAAATTGGGAACTTTCAGGTTCAAGTTCTTCAGGGTGTTTATTCCAGCTGTGTATTAACCTAAGACCTCAGTGGCTGGCCTCTGGGCTGATTCTGTAGCTGATATCACTGCTGGAACATATGACCCTGGCTGCCCTCAGCCTCTGCCACCAGCAATGGCTAACACCCAGGTGAGAACTGTGTCTTTCTAAAGGTTGCCCACAATGAACTAATGCTCAACCATTTATACCTAAAGAATTATAAATGCAAACTAAACCCAGAAACCATTCTTTCCTATCAGATGGACAGTGATTAAAACTCTTGGTAGCCCTAGCCGGTTTGACTCAGTGAATAGAACATCATCCCTCAGACTGAAAGGTCCATGAGTGCAAGCATGCATATGGCAACCAATCAATGTGTCTCTCTCACATTGATGTTTCCTTCTCTCTATTTCTCTCCCTTCCTTCCACTCTCTCTAAAAATCAAGGGGAAAATATCCTTGGGTAAGAATTGACAGGGCAGATTCCCAAGCCCTACCCACTACTACTAATATTATTCTAATAAATAAAATCATTAAAGAGGTTCCCTAAGAGTAGCAAACCTGTTTCCTCATGGTAATTCGGTGTTATACAGAACACTTGGTAGGCCTAAAGAAATAAAATGGCACTATTTCAAGCCCAGAATTTCTGCTAATTTACACAAAGCTTTCAACAAATCAGTCTGGATGAATGATTTTATTAATTTTACTGTCTCTATCTAAAAATAATTGTTCTAAAAGAAAAGCCTATATTTTAAGTTCACATACAGGGAGAAAGTTGGAATGTGGAATTTGACTTAGAATTCTTGTGAATATAGAACCTTGGACTGTGCTATGACTTACCTGTTTGGGTTTACCAAACCCAAATAAAAGTTTAATAAAGCCCAGACGACGTGGCTCAGTGGTTGAGCGTTGACCTATGAACCAGGAGGTCTCAGTTCGATTCCCGGTTAGGGCACATACATGGGTTGCGGGCTCCATCCCGAGTGTGGAGTATGCAGGAGGCAGCCAATCGATGATTCTCAACATTGATGTTTCTATATCTCTCCCTCTTCCTTTCTGGAAGTCAATAAAAAATAAAATTATATCTATATATTACATATATTATATATAAAATTATATATATTACACATATATTATATATATTTATATATACTGCATTTAAAAAATAAATTTTGGATTATACATAAACTCATGTATATGGATTTGGAGCCTCCACCAGTAGACCATCATGCAAATAAAAACTTACAAGGTTCTTCACCCACCGGCACCATTCCTTTAGAATGGCCTGCTTCTCTCCCAGCGCCTGCTGCTGGCTTCTCCAGCAAGCCTCATCCTGGCCTTTGAGTTTGCCCATATGCTTCACAGAAATTTAATATGGAAACAAGATGCTTCTTTGGGGCAGCTGCTGTAGAGGCCACTTGTAGAGAAAAAACCACACTAATAACAAAGCATGGTTGTGTTCACCAACGGAAAATTACAACTTTGCTTGGTTTCGACCCTTGGCACTAAGTCTTGGGTTCCTCATCACTGAATAGACTCTTTCCACTTGGCTTTCTCTCAGCCAGTGTCCTGGCACACTATCAGAGGGGGAATAATTAGAAAGAAGTGTCTTATAGGAATGAGGAGTACTGGTAGCTTACCACATGGGGATAATTGTGGATCTTCAAACGAATCCTGGACAAGACAGCAGCATGATTTGTCTTCTTGCTTACATAAACTCTGTCAGTGTTCACACCTCCCGAAACATGTGCACACTGGGAACTAGAATGCTTGCTCAGCTTCCCTCCTCCTCAAGGGAACCTTTTAGTGGCTCTTGGGTACAAGAGCAGTGACCCAGCTGTAGCTAGCCCCAGAGAATTTTCCATGAGTGTCACATCTAAGCAGAGTTATTATGTTGCTGTGGGATATAAGGCCCATTTTATCCTTAGTTCACTCGTGATTCAGGTAATGTGAGTGTGTGGTGGGGAGTAAGAAACAGCTTTATTCATTTTGGGACTCTTGCTAATTGTAAACATATCAAAGTATAATCATATCAAAGTATAAACATATCAAAGTATAAACCTATCAAAGTATAAACCTATCAAAGTATAAACATATCAAAGCATTTTACATTTCACCCTTCTGAGGCAACAAGTGTACCACTTTGGGGAGCATTTCTATTAATCTCTATTTGATGTGTAGAATTATTCATACAGCTTTTCTCAAATATATTGGTGTGCATGGTGTTCATTTGTGCTCATCCTGAAGCTGACCCTGAGACAAAGACTGGAAAGGAAGCAATTCATTTGGGAGGGTGGCAGACATTTATGGGAAGTGGAGGAGTAACGGAGGGGAAGGCAGCCAATTAAGGGTGGCTATCATTAGCTGGTAGCATGGTCGATGGAGCTTAATCTCATAAGAGAAACTCTGGGAAGTGGTGAGGAACACGTGCCTCAGACACGGATCATTTGAAGGGCAAGGGAGCTGGAGTATTTAAAGCTCGGGTCCCACTGGCTGAGGCTGCTCCTAGTGGGTGTCACTTCTGAGCACTTCCGGCCTAAATAGCCTTCCAAGACCTTGGAGAAAGCCCCATAGGAAAGACCGGAAGATATTAGCTGGTAGAGGGCAGCCACACACATACACACAAAGGTGGGTGGTATGGCTGCAAAGATGTGCCAGGCACTGTTCTAGATGCAGAGGATACAGCAGGAACAAAACAGAGAGTTTTGCCCTCATGGAATAATCCTTCTGTTGGGGAAACAGATAACAAAACAGGCAAGTAAGAAACGTATGGGGTGTGTTACAGGGTGACAAGTACTGGGGAGAAAATTAAGAGCTGAGAAATTCTGGGCAGGAAGGAGGAGGAGTTGTTTGCAATTAGCAAAAGGGAGATCAGAGCAAGCCTCACTGAGAAGGTGACACTCAAGGAAAAGGCCCAAAGGAGGGGAGGGGAAGCCCAGCATGAAGTTATCTGTGTGAGGAAACAGCAATCACAAAGGCCCTACAGCAGGAATGTCTCTGGTGTGTGTGAGGAACTGCAAGGCTAAGATGCTGATGCTGAGCGGAGTGGAGGGAGGAGGGGCAGAGGAGGCTGCAGAGCAGGAGCTTGTTGACAGAGAAGCCTTAGGCTCCTTTCTAGAATGGGACTGAAAGGTCCTGGGAGAGCTGGAGCAGATGACTTGAGTCTGACTTCAGCTTTCACAGAATCACTGGCTGCTCTGCTGAGAATGAACTAAAGAGGGGTAAGGGCAGAGGCAGGGGGAACAGCGAGGAGGCAACAATCCTCCACGTGGTAGCAGTGGAGGAGGGAGAAGTGTTTGATTCTAGAAATATTTTGAAGGTAGAGCCAAAATAATTTGTGGGCAGACAGGATAGAAGAGAAAGCAAGAAGTCAATGGGCTTGGCCTGAGCAACCTGGAGAATGAAGTTGCCTTTTCCTGAATTAGGGAACTCTTCAGGAGCGTGTGTGGGGTCAGGGGTGACTGGGGGCCTGGCATTGGACATGTTAAGTTTGTGTTGTCTGCTAGACACTTACGGGCAGATGTCAGCAGGAAGTTGAATGCTGGGGTTTTGAGTTCAGAAGAGGTCCAAACTGGAGATAAATTGTAGAACTTCTCAGCATACAGGTGGTTGGAGCCATGAGACTGGTGGAGCTCTACAAAGGAGAAAGCTAGAGAGAAAAGTGGTCTGGGACTGAACCCTGAGCAAAGGAGACTGAGGAGGAGCACGCACAGTGTGGTGTCTTGAAAGCCAAGTACAGAAAGTACTTCTAGGAGCGGGGAGTGATCAACTGTATATAAGTGTGTACATGTGCTACATTTACATAGATATACATACAGAAGCACTCTATACAGATATACATATACAGAGGTAGTTTTAGACAAGTAGTTTTATACTTAGTCTATTGCAAAGTGTGCTTTGTGGCAAAAATATCTGTGGTATCAATATTTTAATGGTTGGATAGTATTTCATTGTTACATCTACCATAATTATTCTTTCCCTATACTCTTCCCAATTATAGAATCCTAAATTATATAGCAATGGATGTCTTGTGCATTCATCCTTTCACACCCATGTAATCATCCCTTAGAAGTGGGGCTGCTGTATGCAAAGTATATATGGTCTCATTCAAGACTCCTTCCTGGCAGTTCCAATAACCTGAGATATATTCAATATGGAAAAGCTACTGGCCTCAAGGAAGAACCACTGGGATGTCATTCCAGGTAGACCCCATTCTACAGGACAGCAGGGCAGCCATCTGGGTAATCACTATTAGAAACAGGGCAGAGGTGTGGGTCAAGTCAGAAAAATCATTAACAGAAAGTGATCTGTCAGAACCAGCCCTCAGCCTGACTAAGGAACTGCATCCACTCCATCACCTGTCTGGGCACACAGAGCAGAGCAACTATACAGGCCGACAGGCTCTTGGGCAGAGCCCCTAAGAGCTTATTATGTCAAGAGCAAACACAGCAGACAGGGGCGGTTGTGCCTTTTGTGAAATGACTGTAATTAACTCCCTATCTTTCTCCACACTTTATTTTTGCTGGCTGGCTTTGTCATCATGCTGTTAGAACAAGCCTACTACATGCCGGAGATTTTTCTCCTTTACCTTGTCATCTCGATCAGAAGCATAACTCCATCACCTGTCTGGGCACATACTGAGTCTTTGTCTGGATGGTGTCAGAAAATACTGCACTTAGATAATAATCTTGAAAACAACATCAACAGCAGCCAGATAATTGCGTGAAAGCCTCCAGGAAGTTCGGGACTTTAAGGGACAATGTATTTAGTCCCATATGTCCTCAATGTGGGCAAATGCATTGAGACACCTTTCAACTCAGAAGGAAAAGGGACACAGAGCCATGCCTTGGATCCATTCAACTGCCATCTCTGAGAGGATAAAAGCATTCAACCTGGACTCATGACCCACCGCTGGTGCTTAACCCTTGGAAATCATAGTTCAGTGACACATATCCAGGGAGAGCCACTTCCTAGCGTTGGGCTCTTAACCGTTAAAGCAGACTCACAAGAATGTTCTAACAGTCTGAACTTCTAAAAAGCATTAGGTCTGTGTGATCTGGCTGCATGCTCGTCAGTTCCCACAGTCCCTGGGTTTTATCACGTGATGCCCCTTAACCACGGTAGAAACCCCCCCGACACACACACAGATTCACCAACACTGTCTCCTCTCTGTTTCACGAAGGATGCCCAGTCCAGTCAGCAGGTCAACACAGAGGGCTTTCTTGTGTATCATGGCTGAGATGAAAGTCATTTTATCCCAAGAATACAGCAGGTAAAAGGCAGCCTACAGAATTTATGCCAAATTCCATTCCTCCAATGATCTTACTTCATAGTTGATTTTAAAATAATTGCCTCCCGATCCATAAGCCTCTGTATGATGTTTAATATCAGAGCCTGTGAGTGCACGCACTTGGTCTTTCTCCTCGGCCCGGCTCTGCGTAGGCTGTCTGCGGCCTGTCCTCAGAAGGCTGTGTAGTAGTGCTCCGAGGTGCTGACGATGTCACTCTGGTCCTCCAGGAGTTCCAGTACCTGCTGTAGCACAGGCTCACTCAGGCTCGGATTCAGGCTCAGGCGAGCACAAGCCAAGATGTGCCGGAAGTGGCAGCCCTTCTCCATGTCTGCAGGAAAAAGGCAGTTGGCTAAGCTTGAACACACCTGTCAGACCCTCTTCCCTCTCCCTTCCTTCTAAACCGAAGCCCTTCTCCATGCATCCTGAATTAGAACCTGCATCTTTATAAGATCTCCAGATGACTCTTATGCATGTTAAAGTCAGAGATGCAATGGTTTAGATTATCAGCAAAAACAAAATAAAAAACTCTGTTCTTGGGCTCACCTATGGATCCACACTGCTCAGGAATCAGGCCTTCAACTTTCAAGGATTCCCAATCAATAATTTTATATCCATAACCTAATGGATTTTTAGTGCTTGATAGTATTTTTCTCCAATGTCATTACATGTATAAGTGCAGGTATTCTGTGCTGAACCCCCGGCTTCCCAGTGGGACCCACTTGAGACTGACAGCAGAGTCAATTTACAGCAGCCTCCATGTTTTCTCACGAGTCCTGATTGACAGGACTACCTCAGTGAAGAAGTGACTCCTAGTTTTGGTTTGTTTCATTCCTCTCTGCACAGGCTTCCAAGGTTTGTCTGAAACAGTTGTGTTCTAGTAACCTCTTACACTCTGCCCAAACCCAAGACCATTTGGTATACAGTGATAAAAGTTCAGAGTTAGCAACCTCTTTCCTAGTTGAAATCAGTGATTTCAACTCAAGTTTTGACCATCATAGGATCATGTGAAAGGAGCAGCTCTAGGGTGAAGCCTCGGGCTGACCTGTGCCAGGGTCACAAACAAGCCTCAGCCTGGCGGGCAGAGCTCTCCTAGCATAAGTAAGCCTGACCTTATAGCCCTCCCTAATTCCCTTACTAGTAGCTAATGGGCTGTGGGAGGTGCAGCAAATGTTGCCAAAACAAGAACATTTGTATTCATGTTAATCTACTCTTGTTTTAATCAGACTATAAAATAAAGCATTGGCTTGCAGGCTGGGTCTTTTGTGTCCTCATCCAGGTACAGGAGATCCACCAAGCCCCAGCTGTATTCTCTTGTCTGTCTTTTCTTCAATATTTCACTGCCCCTCCTCAGGTTCACCCTTGGCGTGCTAATGTGGCACAATCATGAAATCAATTTAGTGGGTTGTGATTACCATTCTTTTTTGTACAACGAACTAAAGTAGAAAATTACAGAATGTACTGCATTGTAGGTAGGATAAATCTCATTTTGTAAAACAACTTCTAAATAAATATAATCTATATCTACGTATCTATTGCACTATAATTATATACTTTATTGGATCATGATGTAAAATGCATTTATAATGCCTGAGTTAAAGTCAAACCGCATTAACCAAACCCTCCCCCGTTTTCACGTAAAGCCCCATGGCAGGACCAGGTTTGGCCTCTCATGCTCCATACAATCACTGGATGTTTCAGATGAAAAAAATGTTTTCGGTTCCAGGAAGGCATCTGAAGAGGTATTGTGGTGTTGGGCAGAACATAGTTTGGGAGTTGGTGCAGCTGGTGACTTTGGGCAAATCATAGTACCTTCAAGTTTCAGTTTTCTCACCTATGGAGAGGGAGACTGAGGAAGGAGTAGGGGAACCTGTGAGGTCCTTTCCAGCTCAAAGGGTCAGAGACTATCAGCAGCCTAGGCTAATGAAGGCTTGCTAAATTCTGACCTCTAGTGGCTCTGTCAACTCATTATTCCTCCTATTGGGGTTACTGCTAGAAAACTTGCCACCTCTACTTGTCTCCATATTTGCAGCCTGTTTATTCAACATTAATTTAATAAAAACTTCCTGAACATCTACTATGTGTGTGGTGTCAGAAAAAAAAAGCAGCAAATAAAAAGAGTGCAGATGAAGAACTGACGTTGGAGTCCAACAGACCCAAATTCAAGTCCAGGCTCTATAATTGTGACAAAGTGGTTCACGTCTCAGTCAGTTTTTTTCATCTGTAAGATGGCAATAAAATCACCTACTTCACCATGGTTGTGTGGATGAAAGGAGATCCATGGTAGGGGCTTCTTACATGGGGAACAACTATGATTCTATTGTATTCATAACCTAGGAAGATGCTCAAAATCTAGTACCTGCTCTAAAGAAGCTTCAACTCTTCCCAAAGCCTTAAACTATTTCTTCAGACAGGCCATTCTGCTGTTGAAGAGCCTTTCAGTTACACAGAGAGAAGGATTGGTGTTAGTTCTATTTTAAAGGTATGATATAATCCATCAGATCCAGGGCTTTCCTTTGTTGGCAGATTTTTAATTACCAGACAGATGCAATAGTTGCCTAAGAGACAGATTCCTGGTGCTTCCTACTCCGCCATCTTCAAAATAGTTTTATAAAAAGCCAATGGATTTAATCCTCATAACTATAATGTAGGCAACAGAATTCCCATTTTACATATAAAGAAACTGAGGTACAGACTTATCCAAAGTCACACAGCTGCAAAGTGGCAAGGTGGGATTCAAACTCAGGAAAGGTGGTCCCAGAGTCCAGCTCTTTACAACCATACTTTGCTGCCCATCTTTAGATAAATCCAGTATCAGTGCTTTAGGAACCTAAAACAAGCCTTGTATTTACAGTCCTTTTATTATTGTAGGTTTAACATTTGCTGAAATAATCATAATGACTAAAGATTTTAAGTTCTCCTGCCAATCATCCTGACAAAGAAAAAACTCAATATTATATTTTGTATGAAAGGTTAGAAACAAACGAAAGGTCCAGAGGAATCTCTATATCCCAAAGTGTCCCCTTGGGAGTTTGACTGTGAGACCAGAGTTTGATCATTTGCTATGACAAGCGCTGACCACCAGGGGGCGGCACAGAATGAAGGAAGGCCCCGCTTGGCCCTAATCATGTGCCAGGCCTAGGGACCCTATCCATGCACAAATTCGTGCACCAGGCCTCTAGTGGTTAAATAAATGGTGAAATATATTTTTATACATATAATGGAATGATGTACAGCTATTAAGAAGACTGGGACACTTCTATATGTACTATTGTTGAATGACCTCTAGAAGCCAATGTTATATTTAAAATATAAGGTGTGGAACACTAAATATTGTATGGTACCCTTTACTTGTGCTTTGGTAAAGAATAACTATATAAGCATGTTTTTAAGTGCATATAACATCTCTAGAAGGAACTACTGCCTTTGCAAAGGGTACACAGAGCTTAGGTCCCAGTGCTGGGAGGAAGCCTCACTTTTCTGTGTGTATTTTTGCACTGTTTGACTTTTTATCATGTGCATACATTTTTCAGAATGAAGTTTTTAATGTCATAGATATTTCCTGTGAAAAGGAGTGGCCACAGTAGACATTCAGACAGTCCCTACAAGGTATTTTTGTTGGCATTCTCAGTTTCTCAAGCTCCAGAATTCAGTTCCTGGGAATTTACTACTTCTGGGGAATGGGTAGATGGCTTTTAGAGGCTCCTACTTTATAGAATGAGTGATAGAGGCTGTCCACCTGACACACACACTCACCAAAGCCTGTGGATTAGAAGTGGATATAAAACCTGTTACTTTACAGACCCTTAGGTCACAGAGGCTATTTGGTTCTCCTAAGAGATAAAGTGTGAATTTCTTTCATTTGCTTTATCAGGCCCTAGGATTATTTCAATCCATTCTGTTCCTAATGCAGATCAAAATTGAGAATCTGGCCAGGTGACCTGGGACTAGGACGAGTGAAGGATGTTACATGGGAAGCAGCCTCTTGTGCCTTCTTGGTTGAGAAACCCCGCATTTCACTGCTCTTTAAAGCTCCTTAAATTGTGGATAGATGGGTCTCCCCGACACCAACTAAAGGATACGTGTTCTTATTGCTCTGAATGCATTGAATGAAATCCACAAACACTGCATTCAAATAATTGGTTGCTTTAAGTTTAAGATTTGTCATCATGCCACTCTGGGCTCTGACCTCATCGGTTCTTAAAAGCTAAATAGGGCTGCATATCAAACACCAGGGCTGGAGACCTGGTGCAGCTCTACCCAGTGACTCAGTCTGGAACAGGTCCAGGCGCCAGGCATGCGTGGGCTGAAAGGACTGGAGGTGAACTTCTCTGGAGAGAAGGAAAGCAGGATGAGGAGACCTACGGCCATTAACAAACCTTTTCACTTCCCTTCTACTGTCATTTGTTGACATATTCCAACATTTGTCATTTGACATATTCCAACAGTTGTCTGCAAAAGACAGACTTTGAAAAGTCACCTTTAAGACGGAACAGCTTACATAGGACTTAAAGATAGGACTAATGCTTTCTTCTCTTTCTACCGAGTATGAAAATTGTAATGCCTGTTATCAGACTACCTACAGTTTAAGTTTCTAACCACTAGGGGCTGATCTAGCTCCACTAAAACCAACTATTTTCTAAACCGTTTCTTTTGCAAATTATTAGGTTTCAAGGTGACTGAATTACACTGTTCATAAACTGTAATGTCTGGAACCATTCCTCCCAACTCTGAAGGGCTTGATGTCAGAAGAGAAGGAAATTTAAGGTTTAGGTTCAAAGACCAGGAGAAAGAGTAAGCAAGAAATAACATGAACCATAGAGACCATGAGAGCCAGGAGGACATCAAAACATCCTAGCCAAGGCCCTGGCTCAGTTGGTTAGAGCATTGTCTAAATACATCAAGGTTTCAGGTTCAATTCCCAGTCAGCAATCAATCAATGAATGCACAAAAAAGTAGAACAACAAACTGATGTTTCTCTCTTTCTATTTCTCCCTCCCTCCTTACTCTCTTGCTCTAAAATAAATTAAACAACAGCAACAAAAATCCTAGCCCAGTGGCTTGCCTCGCTGTAGCAGGATCCCCTGAGGAGCTCACTTGTCATGTCCACCCCATCCCCTTGTGAATCAGAATCCCCATGAGTGGGATCTGAGTACTTATATGCTCAAAAAAGTTTCAAGGTTGAATTTTACATGTAGCCAAGGTCGGGATGACTGTGTGAGCCTACTTAACTCGCTTTAGAGAAGAAGGACCTGAGGCTCTGAGAGGGCAGGTCTCTTGATCAGTCATACTTCCAGTCTCTTGACTCTCTAGCCCTTGCTGTCTGGGAGGAAACATTCCCTTCCAGTGCATCAGGACACCTGTGCGTTACAATACTTACGGTTTGGTTTCTGGCAGTCTTCTTGAATGATACGATGGATCTTTTTGTACAGTTCTTTGTCTTCTTTGGTTACCTAAATAGGAAAAAAAAGTTCAGAGAGAAAGTGTTGTTAAGTAACATAGAGGCTGTGTCATCCAGACTCCCAAATTAGTATTTAAGTTGGTCTCTAAGGATTTCGTAACAATCATCATCCCTACACCAACCACATGGTTTTCAATACTTGGCCTGTTGTCAAATCAGTTCAGTCGCTCAGCAGCTTGCTGCTCTGTAGATGACCCAGAGGTACAGTCCTCAGGGGTGGCTCATGAGGCCATGGTGTAAAGAGAAACTGGAATCCTCTTAACGAGCAACTTTCCTCTTAAAAACTCATAATACATTCATATAATTTCTCTTCTTTATTATATTTCTGAAGGGGCATAAGGGGCCAGTCTTTCCTCTGGGCTCTGACACCTGCCTTGCATTTCATTCATTTTATTTCTCCTCCCAACCACAAGGAAAAACAAAGGAAGTAAACCGTAAGGAGAAGCTAGCAAGAGAACTACCCTAGCCTATCCCTTGAGACCCTTTGTGTCTCCAAAGGTCAGACTTCCTTCCAGCTCTGAGACCTAAGCACTGTGTTCCCCTTTCCAAAACCAATAATTGTCACTAGATTCTTGCATATCCTTCTAGAGATGTTACATGCACTTATGAGCATACTTATATAGTTTATTCTTTTTTAAAAGCTCAAGTAAAGGCTATCATACAATATTCAGTGTTCCACACCTGATATTTTATTTTTATTTTTTATTTTTTAAACTGATTTTTTTCACCACACCTGATATTTTAAATCTAATTAGTTCCTTCCTCAACCAGCACAGATAAGAGGAAACCAAACAAATGGGTCTCCCTTCATGTTCAGTAGTAAATCTAACAACAACAACAACAAAAAAAAAAAACAAAAAAAAAAAGGGGAAGGAAGGAAAAGAGGAAGAACAAAACAAAAGCATGCAAACAAATACATACAGGGTGGGGCTAGTTGTTCGTATTTTTTATAGTATAAGAATAAACTCAGTTTTGGGTACTCACAACTTAATCCTACTTTTGCCCCACCCTGTATATAGAGAGTGCTTGTTTGATGGGATTGACAGAGTGACCTGATCTAAGAATGGGGACACTGATATTGCCTGCCTTTTCACAAAGTTATTGTAAATATTAAATTGGCCTTAACCAGATTGACTCAGTGGATGGAGCATTGGCCTGCAAACTAAAGGGTCCCAAGTTCGATTCCAGTCAACAGCATGTACCTTGGTTGTGAGCACATCCTCAGAAGAGGGTATGCAGGAGGCAGATGATCGATGTTTCTCTCTCAATGTTTCTAACTCTCTATCCCTCTCCCCCTTCCTCTCTGTAAACAAATCAATAAAATGTATTTTTTTAAAAAAGATTAAATTGGGTGAGAACTGCTGAAAGCTGGAAAGCCTTATATAAAAAGAAGTGTCTACATTACTGTAATAATTATTTCACTGAGGCCAGGCCCTCAGGAAAACACAAACCAACAAGGCCAGGCAGTTAAGTGGAAAGGGGAGGAGTGAAGAAGAATGGTTCTATTGAGGAAGAGAGAGCAATTATTGCTTCATCACCCCATTCCAGCTCATACTGATTCATAGGAGGAAGTGCCCTAGCGCTGCCACACCTCAGCTATGGGCTGCTGCCCAATGGTCCTGCTGCTCCTCAGAAGAGCTGTTTTCTATAGACTCAGTTGGCCAATGCTGGAGTCTCCCAGTGAAATTGTGACTGGGTGTGGGTAGGTTAAGGTGAGCTGCCATCATGAGCTTCTGCAACCAACCAACTCCTGAAAGCCCTTCCCGAGGTGGAGTGGACTGCAGTCATCCTTATACAGATTGCAATACCCTTTTTAAAAGCTAGTGAAATAGTACATAAAACATCTTTTAATTTTCAAAATTGCTCTAAAATTAGAAATCACTAGATTAAATCATTATCAAGAAAATGTCCTATTAAGGAAGCTTCCCCTTGGGAATCATGTCTGTAAATCATTCCCCTTGGGATGCCTCAGAATTTGGATCTGTCTCCAGGACAATCACTTGTAGCGGAAGCCACATCTATGCTCCCGATATCAACGGTCATGAAAAGGCCCGATTTCAGCCTGGCTCTTCCAATATTAAAGATAGGCAGTGAGAGGGGAACTTTTAACTCTGAAAGTATGAGATAAGCAGGCACTTATACCCCTAGTGAGAGCGTCAACTGGGGCAAGCTTCTGGGTGACCAATCACACTATGTTGACCAAAAGCTTAAAGGTACATGCTTTTGCTTCAGCAATTCCTTTTTTAAGAGTCAACCTTACGGAAATATTTACATAAGTTCACAAAAATAGCCATAGCAACACTATTTGTGAGAGCAAAAGTTGGAGACACCATAAATGTCCATCAGAGGGAAGGGGTTAAAACATTTATGACAAGTTTTCATAACATGGAATACCAAGCAGACATCAAAAAGAATGAGGTAGATTTATAATACTAACATGGAAGGATGCTGTGTGCTATTTTGGTGTCAAAAAAGTTGCTGAGCGTTCTTTAGAGCAGTGGTTCTTAACTGTCCCGAGGACACTTAGCAATGTCTAGTGACATTATTGGTTGCCACAACTTGGGGCGGGAGGGGGAGGGCTGCTATTGGCATCTAGTGGGTGAAGGCCAGGGATGCTGCTAAATAGCCCACAATGCAAAGGACAGCCCCCCCCATGACAAAGAATCATTTGGCCCAAATAGTGTTGAGGATGAGAAATCCTGGTTTTGAGAATGATCACTTTTTTTGTAAAACAAAGAAAGCCACAGGAACATCTATTTATATGTGTATGTGTAAATACATAAATGTCTAAAAGAATATACTGTTAAATGTGGCACCTTACTTTATGTGAGTTTTTAATGATTGATTTTAAAAACAGTAAATAGGTATTCTTAAGTAATGAACATATTTGCAGTTGAAGCTAAGAAGAAAAAATATATAAGATGCAAGTCTCTTACATAGAAGAGGTTATCAAAACCACAATCTTTCTGATAAATGAATCCTTTTTCCTGCAGGAGCTTTATAGCATTCTTAAATATACTATGAATTGCCTTGGATGTGGTGTCATTCTTAAAATCTGCCTGTGGGAAGAAGGAAAAGAAAAAAAAAGTAAGTCCCATCTTATAGCACATGAGAGCAACTCCCTAGACCAACTGGTTTATGAATTCACCCAACAGGCTTTTTATCTGCTGAGTCAAAAAGATCCAGGTATGCAACTGCCTAGCAGGATAGTATTTAAAGAAGTTTGTTCCGGCAGGATATTTGATAACTGTTTCACACCTTACCTGGTAGTTATGATTTTTTGATTAATTCAATAATATAAAATGGACAACTCAAATGGACAATCTTTATTTTTTTAATTCATAACTAAAACACTGTATACATATTAGTTCTTTCTTTTTCTTTTTCATTAAAACCCTGGCTATAGCCCGGCCCATGTGGCTCAGCATCAATCTATGAACCAGGAGGTCACAGTTAAATTCCAGGTAAGGGCATATGCCCAAGGTTGTGCGCTCAGTCCCCAGTAGGGCATGTACATGAGGCAGCCAATCGATGATTCTCATCATTGATGTTTGTTTCTCTTTCCCTCTCCCTTCCTTTCTGAAATCAATAAAAATATATTTTAAAAAATCTTGACTGTATACAATCTCTCCCTAAGGAAGGACTTCAAAGAATTTCACACACACTGAAATAAGCTGGGGATTTCCGCACGTAGAAAGTGTTAAACAGTCTCTTTATTTTAAATGAAGAGCAAGGCAGCAAATAGCTCTACAGAGACCTTTCCGGGGGCTAAAGGTGGACAGGGTTCCTAGAGTGAAGCAAGACCGCCCATCATATGGAAGGAACTCAGCTGCTGTCAGTTTGCTATCTCCTCAATTTCAATGTTTCTTCCCTTTTCTAGGAGACAGGTTTGCCTAGAGAGGTAATCAGGTCATCCTATTTCTTATCCCAAGGAAGCTAGGTTTTCAGCTATGTCCTAGGGTTAACTAGACTCTGTGGTTCTTGAATTGGGAGCTTTGTATATCATTTCAGAGGGAGAGAGAGATAGAAACATCAATGATGAGAATCATTGATTGGCTGCCTCCTGCACACCTCCTACTGGGGATCAAGCCTGCAACCCAGGCCTGTGCCCTTTACCAGAACTGAACCCAGGACCCTTCAGTCCACAGGCCAACACTCTAGCCACTGAGCCAAACCAGCTACAGCTATAGATTCATTTTAAATGTGACAAATTTTTCAAGATATTAAGAAGATGAGAGCATGAAAGAAACATGGCAAAGTGTCCAAAAAAGTGTTTGAAGGCCAAGTCCTATCTCCAGTGAAAGGTGCTGATTGGTAAAGGCTGTCTGGCAGCACCTCAGAGATGCGGAAAAAGGGGATGTGCTTGAGATATGCCCACAACACTTCCTCAAAGTGACAGGGAGAGGAAAGGAACTCCCAAATGGCTTTGAGTGTTGACAATCCATCTCTGAGAAACCATCTCTTTCTAGAAGAGGCCTCCCTAACAGGCATTGTTTTAATCTAATAGATCTTGGCAAATGTTTATGTTTTTTTGGGCTGAAGAGGGGAGTCTAAAGCTCTTTTTAAAAAATATTTTTATTTATTTCAAAGAGGAAGGGAGAGGGAATAGAAACATCAATGATGAGAGAGAATCATGGATCAGCTGGCTCCTGCACGCCCCCTACTGGGAATTAAGTCCATGTGCCCTGACCAGGAACTGAACTGTGACTTCCTGATTTATAAGTCGACACTCAACCACTGAGCCACACCAGCTAAGCTAAGACTCTTAAATTGTATTCTAAGCTTTTCCTTAACAGAACAAACTGCAGAACCTGGTCATTAGAACATTAGGGCCTAACCTTGACAAGCATTCCACCTTATGACAACACCCACTCTCTGAAGGGAAAATAAGGTCCAGAAATATTTGATGACTCCCACGGGCAGAAAAGCTATCTGGATGTGCTTAGAATAAACACCTTCCCAGTCCTCAGGCACACATCTTTTTACTCAGGAGGGCTCCAGACAAAGCCATTTTTAATTACATGCATGAGTCCTCTTAGGGAAAACACAACCTAATATAGGCTCCCCCACAAAACTTTTTAACTACTTAAATCTTCATAGTTCTAAGGAGATTCATTTTCTTTAGTCAATTTAATATAAGGATTCTTAAGGGTCAAATTAATATTACATCTTTATCAAGTTGGAAACGAATTAGAAATGTTAGTTACATAATTATTCCTGTTATTAAAAAAAAAAAAAAAAAAGACTCTTGATTATCCCCAGATCATACATAAAGCCTGCTTCCTCCTCCCAGACTTCACTAAGACCAAGCAGCAGGAAGACATGGTGCCAGGCCTGCGAGCTCAAAAGCACAGTTTCAGCTGTGAACAAGGCGGACCCAACAGAAAAGGCTCTCTGTAAATATAAACAACATGTGAAGCTTCCTTTCCAAAAACACTGGCCTCAACTGACCTCAGGACATATCTCCCTGCTGCTTATAAAGACACAGCTCCAGAGTAGAACCTCCAATCATCTCTACTAGCCAGTAGCTCTTCCTGGCCTGGGATTTGTGACTTTCTTGTCTTTTTCTAAAGAGCAAGAGCAGACTCATCTGAATCAGGAAACCAAAGCTACTCAGAGGAAAAAAACTGACTGGCTGAACATGCTGAGCCTTAGCAGGCTCTCCGCATTGCAGGTCAGGAACTGGGTGGATCTCTGAAATATATATAGAGTCTTCATTTCCAAACAAACTCAACATTTATCCAGCTGTCAAAGAAACAATGGATTTGCAAGGCCTGCTTATCAGGTTTCTGGACTTGCTACGAAGAGCACTGAAGAGCACGATGAAAAACAAAGAACGGGGAAAGCATTCAAACCCACTCTCCCTATCCCTATCAACTATATCACTATCACAATGATTTTTTTTATGGAGCTTTCATCTGTATGACAACACAAAGTACCAAAAGATCTAGGGTTTCACCATCGCTATAGGGCATCCCTAGTTTTTCAGGCTCAATTAAACTGGATTCGATTGAATGACACTGACCTCCCCAAGCAGAGCCATGTGAGGGAACAATTCATAATTGATGGAAAATAGTTTCCAAAGACAAAACAAATAAAGTGCCATATACACTGCTTTTTAAACATACAGCACTGGGCAGACACACGTTTCTTCTCTAAGCATTTCAAAAGATATAGGCAATTCTTCTTGTTTTGAGTGGAGGAGCCTTTTATTTATTTATTTACTTGTTTATTTTATTTTAATTTTTTAAAAATATATTTTATTGATTTTGTACAGAAAGGAAGGGAGATAGAGAGTTAGAAACATCGATGAGAGAGAGTCATCGATCAGCTGCCTCTTGCACATCCCCCACTGGGGATATGCCTGCAACCAAGGTACATGCCTTTGACCGGAATCAAACCCGGGACCCTTCAGTCCCCAAGCCAAAGCTCTATCCGTTAAGCCAAACCGGTTTCGGCTGAATGGAGGAGGCTTTTAGTCCTCAGGGACCTCAAGTCTCTCTACTTAATTAGAGCCTTTGCAGAAAAGCTGGTTTACAGGAAGAAAATGGTCTTCGTTAAACTTCAAAGTTTTTCCTTCCAAACATGCCAGCAGAATGGTCAGAAGTCCTTGGAGGCCAACTTGGCATTGAGCCCCCTCTAAATGATTAAATGGAAGAAGGTCAATCTTGCTGTCAGGGCACAGCTGGAGAGCTGCAACTGTTTAGAAGTGATGATGGCACAGGACAAAGCGGCCAGTCATGACCCTCTCCGCCTTGGTGTTTCCTGAAACAATATCCCTCATCTCTGTGTACAAAATCATGGGTCACTGGACACACAGCCTGGTGTCAGGAAGAGATAATTAGGTTCATGAATGAAACTGAGAAGCAGTGGTCGTACCTAGGAAGTTGGATGGGGACATGATATCTATTCTGCCAGAAGCCAGAAGTATAACTTATGTCACTAACAAGGGAATTCAGAGCAGCCCTGTTGGTAATGGCAAACGATCAGAAAACATCTAAACAGTCCAGGAATGGAGAGGGTGGTTATCTAAATTATGGGACATGTAACAAAAGATTATTCTATAGTGGCAAATCTATGCACGGCTAGGGAAGGATCTATAAGACATACAGTTCAATGAAAAGGTAGGGAATACTAGTGTTTAGCATGATATCATTTGTGTAAAAAAAGGGGGATACAACTACTTCTAGTTTACGTACGCAGATGGATATTCTATCTCCAGATGGATATTCATGACACTAGTAACACTAGTGTTTGTCTCTGGAGAAAGGAGGGAGGATGGGAAAGAAACTTACTTTTAAGTAGATACTTTCAGAGACTATCTGAATTTTTAAAAACCACTCATTCTTCAATTAACTGATAATTATTGAAAACCTACTTTCTAACAGACTTGTCCTAGGCCCTGGTTCTAGAGGACAGAGAATAAGTCAGATGAGATATCTGCTCATAGAGAACTTAAATTCTGGTGGAGGAACAGGCAGGTGAACAAATAAAGAGAGATATGAACACAGGTGATAACCTAGGGAGGAAGTAGGTGGCCATTAGAGCAGCTGGCCATGTAGGTCAAGAAGGTGACTTTTTTTTTTTTTCTAGAAAGGAAGAAAGAGGGATAGAGAGTTAGAAATATGGATGAGAGAGAAACATCAATCAGCTGCATCTTGCACACCCCCCACTGGGGATGTGCCTGCAACCAAGATACATGCCCTTGACCGGAATTGAACCCTGGACCCTTGAGTTTGCAGGCTGATGCTCTATCTACTGAGCCAAACCGGTTTCGGCAAGAAGGTGACATTTAAGCAGATATCATACACTTGTGGAATCAATGAAATAATAAACACAAGTTAGGTTACAACAACAAACCCAAGAGTTGAAATAAAAGGAAAAGCCTAACAACAAAGTCTCAAATAATTCTTAATACCAAGCAAATATGGAAGCGCCAAGCAACTGAAATTCACCTCTAACACTCGGGATGAAAAAATGGAGATAGCTCTTCCCAGGAGAAATAAAAATGACTTAAAGCACTTAAAATTTCTACATATAAAACAGGATGAATACAACTTGGCCTTCATTCAAACTCCTGAAATGCAATAGGTTAACTTTATTCTGAAGAAGAACAGCAAGTCAGTAAAAGCCTTGGTTCTAGTTCAATAAATAATCTTGGAAGGGTAATTATCTCTTCTCATTTATTTCCCCAACATTTGACTCCTGGTGAAATTAAATGTCCATCTCAGTGAGTACTAAAAACTAAGTACTATGATGTTTAGACTATTTTTTTTTCTACCCAATGATTAAGCTTAATGAGATTAAGCGAGAGGAAAAGGGCAATTCCATTCTCATATGAAATTCTTAAGAGGTCAGTAACCTTCCCAGAATAGAAAGGACATGTGACTGAACCATAGCCTCTATTCCCTGGTCCACCCTGTGAATCTTAATACCACAGTCACGTTCACTCACATCCTTCAGCTGCCGATTTGGGGCAGTGGACTGGAATTCTCCCATGGGCAACCTGCACTTACTTGCTTGGAGCAGTCACTATGAATCACAGGCTGATTGGCAAGGGACAGCAGAGACTCCACCATTTCCAACTCCTGTTGGTAAAAGGTCTGCACTCTGTTCTTCATGAGGAATTCGTTGGCTTTTTCACTTAGCAAACATGTGAGATTGGTAAGGTCCAGGTCACCTGGATTTTTGCTGGGGAAGTGGTAAAAAGCTATGTAGAAAATTATCACTTTTGTTCCTTTCTGGAATGTTTAAAACAGAAACTTGGCTAGGAAAAGCAACACTATATTGATGCTTTCTTTGACATAAAGAAAGCATCAATATATTTCTGACCAATATACTATGGACAATGTGTGGTTGTTTAAAAGGATGAGGCAGGACTACAAGAACTAAGATATTCATGACCGCTTCAGAAAAAAAATCAGGTTGCAGAACAGTTTGTAAGATATGATCCTATTTTTATAAAAAAGCAAATGACAACCCACAGAATATATGGGTAGATATTCTTGTGTTTGCACAGAAAAAAATGTCTAAAAGGGTATGTACCAACCTAGGGACAGTAGTAACCTCTAGGGCATGCTCTGAGGCAGGAGACAGGACACTGGAGGAATTTCACTTTTTACTTTATACAGGTCTATCATTTAAGTAGTTTTTTAATACAATTTAAAAATATGTAATATGTACACATTAAAAACAAGTGTGCCCTGGAAGGTGTGCCTCAGTTGGTTAAGTGTTGTCATGTGCACCAAGAGATCACCAGTATGATTTCCAGTTAGGGCACATACCCAGGGTTTAGGGAGCATACAGGAAACAGCCGATTGCTGTTCCTCTCATCAATGTTTTTCTCCCTCCCTTCCTCTCGCTCTCAAATCAATAAAATCATATATATATAAAATTGAAGTGTACACAGTGAAGTCTCCTTTCTATCCTACTCCCAGTTCCCACCTCCTTGCCATCCACTATTACTGATTTACTTTTTTCCCCGGAGTTCTTTGATGCATACATATACTAAAAAATACCCATATATTCTTACTCCTCCTATTTTTATGCCCTTCATCTTCCCCCATTTCCTCCCCCACCCCTGCCTCCACACACACACACACAAAAGAGTAAAACCAGCCCCGGCTGAAAACGACTCAACTCCTTTAGGGACCTAGTTATATGTATATTTTCCTCACAACAACCTTGGAACATCTGCACTGCTTTCATCTTCACGTTACGGACGAGAACACTGAGGCACATGGAGGATGAGCAGATGTGCCCAAAGCCTCACATGAGTAAGATGATGGTACTCACATGAATACCCAGGGCCACTCCAGCATCAGGGCTCCCTTGGCATGGCCTTCCTAATGAACTCACATCTTCCGCAGTGATTGGCCATAACTTACCTCAGTGCTTCTTTTTCTAGGACTGGGCTATGGAAAGGCTGGTCATAAACTTTCCTGTAGATACTGGGCAGCTCAAGCATCCTTGCAATTTGAATGTTGCATACTGGATCATCCACTTTATCTAAGAAGCCGAGGGGGAAAATATATCACAGAAATTACATCAAGGTCAATTCTTTCCCTTGTCCAAACTGCTGCTAGGATGACAGTAAATGAGGCACTCAGAGGGTCTCCTCGTTGGTGCCCAGGAGTCACAGTCTAGATGCACTAAATAGTGCCCAGTTATCATACAAAAGTGAAGGCAATACCCTAAGTGTCACATGCTCGGCCAGGGGTGGACTGGGACTAGGGGGAGCACATTAGCTTATTTGTTCAGCTGTTACAGTGATGGACAACAGGGGCCCTCCTAGAGATTCCCAAGCAAACACTAGCAAGAGCAGTGCAAAGGGCATCACGCAGAGGATACTGGACTGTCGTATATCTAATTAGCTATTTTCGTTCAGTTAATGAGCTTAATAGTAACTCAAGAAATCTCCATCCTTTTGAAGAATATGAACATTCTGCCCTAAATGGATTCATACTTGGAACTTTAAAGCACTTTAGAAACTACTGTGCTATCCAAATAAATCTTCCAACTGTACATAATTAATCATTTGTTTTTCCCCCCAATTTGTTCATAGTTACTTCTCTTTAAAATAAATTTAAGAAATGCTGCTTTTCCAGAGAATTATAAAATTACATATTATAAAATGTAATTTCCTCCATTAAATAGTTAATCTCCTTTATTTGAACTACTTAGAAGTTTGACTTTTAGCTAAACAAGTTTGCTACTGGACACCCCCCCCAGAATAACAACCATTTTGGCAGAAATAGCTTTTGCTTACAATGAACAGTGGCATGAATTTCTCGTTCTTCTCTGTACGTGCGGACATGACCTCTAACCCGGATAATGTCTCCAATTTCTATCTTTGTTCTCTGCTCAATGGTCTCTTGCAGCTTCTTAAGCTGGGATGTTAAACTCAGTTCTCTTGCACTTGGAGCAGCTGTAGTTGTTAGGGCCAGAAGGAAAGACAGAAATGTATAACATAATCACTCCACCACATTTGTGAGCTACTTTGGGGGTAACACCATCACAAGACACTTATTTATTCTATTTTGGATTAGTTGTTCTACAGAAGAAATCTGCATAACTTTAAAAGATCCTCTACTGAATAAAGGCATTAAGCTGCAATTATTCAAAGGTAGGGTGAAGGGAACAGAGTCTAGAAGCCCTACATCATCAATGCAAAAGGCTCTACGTGGTCCTCAGCTGAATTCTGTATGGATTCAATGGGTTTGGTGGCAATAGCTCTCAACAACCCTATTAAATTGTCCTCGCAGTGAGACTGAGGTCTGGAGGAAGGGAAAAGGGGGCCTAAGAGTCTGGATTGGTGGTCTGTGTATGGGGGAAGCAAAATCACCTTAGGCAGATTTCCTAGGTGCTCAACAATCTAATCTCTCACCTCTCATCTTTGTTGGGTAACTAAGCTAATCTCTCTCTCTCTCTCTCTCTCTCTCTCTCTCTCTCTCTCTCTCTCTCTCTCACACACACACACACACACACACACACACACACACACACACTCATTCTCATGCCACTTAAAACTATAAACTTAATAGAGTCCATCTTATACATAGAGTTGTTGTGCATGCTCTAAATTAACTCTTACATTTTGAGCTTAGCACAATGCCAGATCCATAGGAAGAATTCAATAAATGTCAGCTATTTGAAAAAAAAAAATTAAGCCTTCTGGACAAAGTCATTTTCTTTTCTTTGAGGCTTTTCATTGGGGATTACTGGGTAGAAAAGTACAAATCAGTTCCTAGTTCATTACAAATTGTCAGAATGTTTGCAAAAAATAAATAAATAAATAAATAAATAAATAAATAAATAAATAAATAAATAAATAAAAGTATTTTCTTTCTACAAGGTGTCACTAGCCATCTATGCATGCTTCTGGCTCCCACATTGGCTTCAGTAATTTGGATTATTAAAAAAAATATTTTTATTGATTTCAGAGAGGAAGGGGGAGAGAGAGAGAGAGAGAGAGAGAGAGAGAGAGAGAGAGAGAGAGAGAGAGAGAGAAGAGTTAGAAACAGCAATAAGAATCATTGATTGGCTTCCTCCTGCAGATCCCTCAGTGGGGATTGAGCTCGCAACCTGGGCACGTGCCCTCAACTAGAATCGAACCTGGGACCCTTCAGTCTGCAGGCTGACACTCTATTCAAACCAATTAGGGCAGTCATTTGGATTTTTAATACCTTAGAAAATAGGTAATCTATATATATGTGTGTGTGTGTGTGTGTGTGTGTCCCTTCGGGAGTTCGACCTGGAGACCAGGAGTTCAACTGCTTGCTATGACGTGCACTGAGCACCAGGAGGTGGTGAAAAACAAGGGAAGGCCCCAGCTGGCAGCCAGGGAAGGAAGGCCCCGGCCAGCAGCCAGAAGGCCCTGATCGGCCTTAATCGCTGGCCAAGCCTAGGGAACGTACCCGTGCACAAATTTTGTGCACCAGGCCTCTGGTAACTCCATAACCTTTTAATTTACAAGAGAGGCTGTGTGTTTTTATATTAGACTAGAGGCCCAGTGCACGATTTGTGCACCAGTAGGGTCCCTTGGCCTAGTCTGTGGAATAGGGCCAAAACTGGCTCTCCAACATCCCTCAAGGGGTCCCAGATTGCAAGAGGGGACAAGCCAGGCCAAGGGACCCCACCGGTGCACAATCAGGGCTGGAGAGAGACATGGGAGGTTGTCCAGCCAGGGAGAGACTGCGAGAGGGCTCCAGGGTGTGCCTGGTACATCTCGCTCAGTCCCAATTGGATCCCATCTACCTCCGGTTGTCAGTGCCCATCATAGTGAGCGGTTGAGCAGCCTTAATATATTATTTTTTGATTGGCTGAATAAACGACCGGACACTTAGCATATTAGGCTTTTATTATATAGGATGATCTACTCTCTGAGTTCTTTACATACAAGCCCTCCATCTCTTTTGAATACTTTGCTAACTTCTAAGAGATTTTTAGGGAAGTTTGTCAAGTTATATGTACTACTTACACTTTTCCCATTTCATTGCATTCTTTCTCTTTCACTTCATTTTATTACATAAAAGTTTTGGAGAAAATCTTTTGGGCTATCTCTCTAGTCACTGATGATAGTTTTCAGTGCTTTAAAGGGAACTCAGGAGAGCTTAAAATATATACCCTGATCTTTATTGGTATAAATATACAAGTCTACCTTCTTTGGGTTACTTTATGGAAGCTGCAAGGGAGGGAGGGAGGTTACCTCTTTTTCAATATTATCTACTTGAACCAACAACATTTTTAAGTGCTGATTTACTTCCTATTATCGTTTTATTATTTCTTTTTTACCATATTATTTTGGTTTGTCATATACTAGGGCTCCTACAAAGAAATGAATTTCTCTTTGGGAGTACTAATCAAATATCCTGCTCTTTAACCTAACATAACTTAGATGAATACATCTATTATATCAAGGGAAACTGCAACCTCAGGAGCATGGAGGACTTCAGGTATCCAGTAACCAACAGCTAGGAATCTAGGCACAATCAGCATTAATATCACTCAGCTTACTGGGTTTCTTCAAAAATACCCAAGTATTACTTTTTAAAAGGTTCTCCATCCCCAAGTCCTCTCCTACTTAGGCTGAATTTTAAACGCCTTTATAAGTCTCACTGCCATTATTCAGACAGTATAGGTGATAATAAATGCTTCACATTGTACTGTTGAAATGATCTGTCTGATGGCTGGCCTGAGAAAAAGGTGCTGAGTAGCTTTCATTTAAAGGGTGCACGAAACTACCAAAAGAAAAAACAAAAGGAAAGTTCAAGATACGTGATTTAATGAATATAATAAGATGGCTAGAGCCTGACAGAATTTCATTTTAAGTGGTCTATTCCATGATGAAAGATAAGCCCTCTTTAAAATTCTAATATTAAGGGCCCAACTTTCTTAACTTTCCTCCTAAGCTAACTCAAAATGCTACATTCAATGTGACATTTATAGGAGTTAATATCATATTCTTATACCTCAACTGATTGGAACATAAATTTGGTTAAAAAAAAATCAGTCTTCATTGGCCACTTTCCAGTGAAAAGCTTTAAAACTGGGGGCAATTAAACTAAAAGGAGAAAATGGGCTAGTCACGAACAATTTAAAGATGCCACTCCATATATAACATGATGAGAACAATTTGCAGGCTTTTTTCCTGTTCTCTTACCTTCTTTATTTTTATTCTCAAAGCAAGTTTCAATTAATTTTCAGTCTGTCCACTCCAATTGTTCGTCTATGTATTCACTTAGATATTTTTTAAAAACCACACTTTTCAGTATTAACAGCAATTTTACCTAAAATTTACTAAGTATAAGAGTTATATAATATTTCTGATGATGTCATTTCTTTAAAAAAGAGCTTTGAAAAATAAAACAATGGCTAAAACAGGGGTCTGCAAACCTTGGCCTATGGGCCATTTCCATCCACAACCTGTATCTATAAATAAAGTTTTATTGGAACAGAGCCTTGCTGTTCATGTATAGTCTACGGCAGTTCTATGTTATAATGGAGCACTAAATAGTTGAAAGGCAGACCATGTGGCCCACAAAGCAGAAAACATTTACCAGCTGGCTCAATACAGAAAAAGTGCTGACCCTTGGCATGAAACATGTATGCACATTCAAACTATATCTTCTGAAGAAAACACACACACAAACCTACACCTTCTAAATGAAGACTGTGGCAATACAACAATCATAAATCTTCAAATGATTTTAATACGCTAGACATATGCAAATTCAGATATTTGATTATCTCATAGGCTTATTTCCTGCTTCTGAGATATCTGCATAAAAACCTGTTGTCTTTCTTTCTTTCTTTTTTTTAATCTACAAAACTTCCTAAGCAAACTTCCTACAGTGACACTGATTTAGATTTTCTCAAATTAGGAAAGGGGAATTACGAAAGTTATGTGAAAGATGGTCAAATTCTAAATGCAAATGCAATAGAAAATTAGGCAAAATAGTATCCATTAGTCAGTATAGTCAAAGCAGGGGATTGAGATTCTGACAGGAAATGGCAGAAAGGAAAGAAGAAACCATCCCAAGGGATACACATTACTGTGTATAACATGAAATAGATACTGGATGTTAGATACGACAGCAGGCAATATACATTGAATAACCCCACTGTGCATGGTCCCATACTGTCTATGTCGTAAAACAGGACAAACAAGGTCCCACTTTCTGTAGCTCCTCTAGAACCAAAATGATCACTAACATTACACTGTATTTTTTTTTAATATTATGAAGTTAAGCAACTAAAAAAACCACCTATTAAAATACACCCAATAAATTTTAAATGCTGTTTTAGTTATAGTCTATGTGTTCACTATATAATTTTTCTGTTTATATTACTTAATGTCTAACTTCAAAGGAATCCTATCTTCTCATTCTCATCAATGTTAGAATTTCTGGCACAGTTGTTGAACATGCAGACATTTAAAAAACAAAACAAAACTAGGATCTGAATAGCAGCGTAGAAGTTAGTGGCAACCACATAAGAGGAAAGTCTTCAAAATCTTCTTTGGTCAAGTGGCATGCCCGGAGCAAGGGAATTCTGACCTGATTGGCAATTAGGCTAAAACATCTTGATTTGGATAGTGACTGAAATGCTGAAATTCTTAGTCACCTAGTCCCATTCCAGTAGATTAGGAGGAAGTGAGCACCAAAGTAATGGGAAAAAAGAAAACCAAGCGGCTCCCCTTTAATTCCAATTTGCAGAGAAGCCAAAGTTCTCTGCAGGGCAGTGATTCAAGATAGTCAATGTAATTCATCGGTGGATAAATGTGAAAATTTAGGCCCTACGGCTCTTCTGATGAGCTGCCTTGAGTAAAATCCACTGGTTAGCTGAAAAGCAAAGGAGTGTGGCAAATGAAATTACCTGGGGAAGACTCGGTATCAGTCAACTTTTTCCAGCAGATGCAGTTTATCACTCCAGTGCTATCATCCACTGCAAGAGAAGTGTAAAAGAATAGAACAGAGATTTGGGCATTGCCGGTGAATTAGCATATTGTGATTAATCAGGCCATACTAAAAGAGTCTTTTCCAATTCTCCTTCCAGCTTTAGACATAATCTCCCACCCTACACCAGTGGAAACTGCTTTCCTCAATGTCAAAGTGATATATGGGCCCGGTGGAATGTAGTCAAGACGTCACTTACCCTACACCTCAAGGGTACTAATGATTCTTATCTAAGCCTCTCCTAAAACTGGTGTCCTGGGGAAGTTAAGAGCAAAAATCTCAATGACTGCTAACACAGAAAATCAGCCTTGCTCTTCTACCCTGCAACAAGAAAGTGTCACGTGGTCTTGTGATCAGAGGTACTAAGGGTGCAGCCTTTTGTCACCATTTGTTCTTCCACTAGCTTGCTGACTCACCTAGACAAAGCATCCCAAGTCTTTGGGCCTGAGCCCAAAAAAAGCCAAGTACATCACAGAAGGCCAAAGTTTTATTTTCATAATAGGAAATGATTATATCTTGGTCACACATAAAACGGGTCTGACTTACTTTATCCACAATGCAAAAACAACAACAAACCAAATCAAAGAATTTCCATTACACTTGGATTTATAAATGTAGAGGTAGTTGAAGATGTTTACTATGGGATGATAAGTGTTTTATCTTTGCCTAATTTATATATATATATATATATATATATATATATATATATATATATATATATATATTGATTTCAGACAGGGAGAGGGAAAAAGAGATAGAAACAAACATCAATGATAAGAGAGAATCATTGATTGGCTGGCTCCTACACACCTCTTACTGGGGATCAAGCCTGCAACCCGGGCATGTGCCCTTGACTGGAATTGAACCTTGGACCCTTGAGTCCACAGGCCAACGTTCTATCCACTGAGCCAAGCATGCTAGGGTATCTTTGCCTAATTTCTGACAAACTCAGAGCAAAGGTTGCTAAACATGGGGTCAGTAGGCTTAATGATTTATAAAAATCATCAGCTAGACTGTTGTAAAGCACCTATAATATATGAGAAACACAGGCAAACATTTTTTATTGCTGGTTTAAATGTGGAAAGCTAAAGCTGAAAAGAATATTTCTTACACTAAAATACGTTCTAGATGGACTTTATTTTATTAAGTATAATGTAGATAAACTTCAGAAGAAGAAAATTTGGGCTTATAGTTGGTGGTGAGACACTTCTTTAAGCAAACCTAAAAATCATTTTTAAAGTATGATATATTTGTACAACTAAAAACCAATACTGTATAGCAATATTGCAAATGATGGGGTTAGTGTCTTTTTTTATTTTTTATTTTTTTTATTTTTAAATATATTTTTATTGATTTTGTACAGAGAGGAAGGGAGAGAGATAGAGAGAAACATCAATGAGAGAGTCATCAATCAGCTGCCTCTTGCACACCCCCCACTAGGGATATGCCCGCAACCAAGGTACATACCCTTGACTGGAATCGAACCCGGGACCCTTCAGTCCCCAAGCCGATGCTCTATCCATTGAGCCAAACCGGTTTCAGCATGGGGTTAGTGTCTTAATATATAAAGAGCTCATACAAATTAATGAGGAAAAGACCAAGACTACAAGAGAAAAAATGGCCAAGAAAAAATATGTCATTCATGAAAGATATAAAAATGGTCAATAAACATATGTCAGCACACTACTCACTAGTTACAAGAAAATAAAAGAAGCAAATTTAAATAATTTATTCAACTACTAAAATGACAAGTATTATATCTTGGTCACACACATAATACGTTATCAGTGTTTTTAATACAAGTTCAGTGTTTTTAATACAAGTAGTATTAAAAACACTGATAACGCCGAAACCTGTTTGGCTCAGGGGTAGAGCGTCAGTCTGCGGACTGAAAGGTCCCAGGTTCAATTCCAGTCAAGGGCATGTACATTGGTTGCGGGCACATCCCCGGTAGGAGGTGTGCAAGAGGCAGCTGGTCGATGTTTCTCTCTCACCGATGTTTCTAGCTCTCTATCTCTCTCCCTTCCTGTCTGTAAGAAAAATCAATAAAATATATTAAAAATAAATAAAATAAATAATAAATAAAAACACTGATAACCTCAGGTGCTTACTGTTAGTGAGACTGCAAATCTGTATCAAATTTATAAAGAGCAAGCTTGGAAATACGTACCAAATTTTAAAATATATACAGTGGAGCTAAGTCTCTGACTTAGCATTTCCTTCCAGTAATTTATCCTCAGAAGGAAAATAGAACAAATACAATATATACATATTGTTTACACTACTGAAAGTTGGAAATAAACTAAATATTTATAAATATTGAATATACTAAATAAATTACAATGACATAGCACATGAGAATAAGACATTACAATGAAGACTGTTCATTGCTGTTACAAGAATATTCATGCTTCATTGCAAAACAGAAATTGTATATATAATCTTTTTTTTCCCCCTAAGGAAAAAGAGTTTATTCATGATGAAGGCAATTGTATATATAATCTTATATATAATCTAACTTATAAAAAACATTAGTTTATTTTGACAGAAATTATTTTAAGACATTAAAATGCTAATAGAAATTTCTCTTGGAATATGGGGAAGGAGCCCCATATTCAATGTATTCTTAGACTGTAAGCCTAATTTCAGGGCTATTAAGAAAAAGAAATATGAATAATAGTTATGAGGAAATAGGCGTATTTCTTCAATATGAAGAACATATTAGAAATATTAGGATGTTCACTCAAACATTGACATTGTTTTATCTGATTTACAGGTGTCACATGAGTTTTCTGTAGTATCAAAAATTTCTCTAGCTTAAAATTTTATTTTCTAATGAGTTAAGTATCATTTTAAGAAGCAAAAAAATTAATAAGGGCATTTTGAGTTTTAAAAAATGTATGACAGCTTTAGGCATGGCGCTTCTCTGGCCAGTTTAAAGTCTTGTTTGATAATTGAAAGTCAAAAAATGACTTCCATGATTATTTGTTCTAACAAATGGGAGGTCATTCTGATCTTTTTATTTTGTATTATTTTGGTCATTCTGATCTTGACTGTACCTCCCAGGATTCTAGGACTATGCTAGAGTAGCTGCCAGGTGCTCTGTGTGCTCAGGGCAATACCATTTCCTGGTTTGTAACTGCTCCCAATAGACCCTCTCCCTGCGCCCCGAGGTTTAGCTGCTACGCCAGGTCATTTCCAGCTGGGCAGTACCACCTGGGCTGCAGCCTTTTGTTTCAGCTCTGGGACGGGTCAGTAGGAGCAGGAAGCATCCTCAGCAAAGACCTGTGGTAAGTCAGGCAGAGCAGGACCCAGGACAGCAGGAGCGGCCACCCAGCAGGTGACCCTAGAGCTAAGCTGGGCTCCGAGGACAGAAGGGAGAGCAGCTCTTCCTTGAATAGGCTCGAGTGACTTAAACTCACAAAAGAATTTCTACTCTCAATTATTTCAACCTTCAGATACTTTTTGTTTTCCCATAGCTCACAGATGTGTCATGACATCCACTCTAAGGGAAATGTTTATTGGGGAAGACACAGACATAATGCCTTCATTTTTTTAATACTGGAAAAGGGGTTAAGTGAAGCCCCTTTAGGTCACAGGAATAATACCCACTCTAGCCCTAGGCCAGGATTGATGTCCTCAAACAACCTCATTTACTTGATTTAAATCTAGATGCCACTGTTTGGGGCAGAAGGGGAGGGTGAGAGAAAAATCCAATTGAATTACATGTGAACTATATAGCAACTATAGTTAGTAAATACACTGGACTCCTCCGTTTCTGAGCAAGTAACTGAGCCTTAGTTTTCTCATCTGTAAAATGGAAATATCTGTCCTTTCTATTTCAAAAGCTAAGAGAGAAACATAAAATTATGCATGTAAAAATGCTTTGTAAATTGAAAAATACTATTATTTCATCACTGGTATTTGGGAGAAAGTACTGTATACTATAGATCCATGGTTGGCAAACTGCAGTTCTTTGGCCCTTTGCGTGTGGCTCTCCCACAAAATACCATGGCCTGGGCAAGTCTATTTTGAAGAAGTAGCGTTAGAAGAAGTTTATGTTGAAAAAATTTGGCTCTCAAAAGAAATTTCAATCATTGTACTGTTGATATTTGGCTCTGTTGACTAATGATGATGCTATAGGTGATGACTTTGCCCACAGCTGGGTATGCTGTAGAAACTTAGTGACTGCTTGTTGAATTGTCTGGAGAAAAATAAAACCAATATTTTTGTTAAAATAAAGTAGAAGTGAGATCCAATAAGGGGATCTAGTTCAGAGTTTTAAAAACAAATATGCTGGGGGGAAAAGCAGAGGACATGAGAAATCTCATCTTTGCATGACATTTTATACTAAGCACAAAACAATCATCCTCAGGAAAATGAACACATGTTGAAGGAATTCAATGATACTGTACCTGTAAATTATCAACCATGCACAGACTAGCAATGAAATGTTCTTGGTCACCTAGTTCAACTGCCTCTGTCTTTTCCCAAGTAGAGCAAGAACACAGATCCAAGGCAACACAACAAAAAATGATAATGTCAATTATAGCAAAGATTTGGAATTCAGAGTTAGGCTTCCTACAAAATATCTAGCTTGGCTCCTTATCTATAAAGGATTTTAGAGCTTCATAAAGCAATGTGTTAAAATCCTTACATTAAACTCAATTAAAAAAAAAATCAAGACTCTTGACACTAGAATCAAACTCTAATAATTCGATGATATCCAAACTATAAAAATCCTTATATTTCCATCATCAAGAGGGAAGAGAAATTTTCTGATAATGCATATTTAGCTCTTTAAGTAGCAAAGGCTTTTTTAAAGAACTTTTCTGACCCAGCCGGTGTGGCTGTTTGAGCGTCAACCTGTGAACCAGGAGGTCACAGTTCAATTCCGGTCAGGGAACATGCCGGGGTTGTGGGCTCGATCCCCAGTAGAGGTGATGCAGAAGGCAGCCGATCAATGTTTCTTTCTATATACCCCTCTCTCTCCAAAATCAATACAAACATATTTTAAAAAAATTTTCTGGATATAAATCTTACAGCTTATTTTTCACACCTCCTCGCCTTCTTTCTTGAAGGGTCTACTTTAGCATTAATCTAGCCTTTTCTTTTTAAAGTATCAGTATAGACATACCTTACCATCCTTTGCTATTTATAGCTACGTCCTCAGGTATCAGGTGTTGTCTCTGATCAACCAGTGATCCTAGACTGCCGTATTTTAATTCTTCTGCCTCTTCACTCCCCAGCCGCTGTCACCTGACCGTACTCATTCTGACTTGTTGCCTCATTTTACACTTAGTCCATGTCAGGGGCTCCAAGGGGCTCCCGATAGAGCAAAGTGCATGGGGGTCTGTGAGAGTCCCCAGCGGCTCTGAAAGGCTGGGGTTATTTCAAATTCAGCATTCACATAAGTGGGGGTCCTCCCACATAAACTCAATGTCAGACACAACTGTTCTTACCTCCGTAACTGTAGAAAGTATTCTTTTCTTTCACTCCAATTACAGTTCCCAAGATATCTACTTGTTTTATTGGATGCCCATTATAAAAAAATATACCTGAAATTAAAAAAAAAGATAAAGTCCATATAATGTATGATTATATTTTCTGTTTCAATCACTGTTAACTGTGGGGATGAGGGTGGGGACGGGTGGTTGTGTAAAAAATCTGTGGCATGCTGCTTGCTGAAATTCCAGACTTAAGAACCAGCCCTTGACAAACGGCAAGCCCTAAGAAATCAGGTGTCTTTTCCTCAAGGGTCATAATGAGAAAGCCTGGCTTTAAAGAAGCGAGTGCTACCGTTGGCAGGCGTGGTTCAGTTGGTTGGGCATGGAGCTGTGCATCAAGAGGTCACCAGTTAAATTCTGGGTCAGGGCATATGCCAGATTGTGGGTTCGATCCCCAGTAGGGGGCAAGCAGGAGGCAGCCAATTGATGTTTTGCTCTTACATCAATGTTTCTCCCTCTTCCTTGCCCTCTCTCAAAATATAAATAAATAAATGAAAAAAAATAAGGAAGCATGCACTAGTACAGAAAAAGGAAAACCAATATTGCCCAACTGGATTTGGTTAATCTTCCTTCCACTTGTGAAAATGAAATCTAACTCCCTGAAGAACTCTCACAAAGAGCCTGGAAACAGTCCTTATATTACAGAACCAAAATTAGCACTGTATTGTGAGGGACTGGAAAGGAAAAAGGAGGAAACCAGGAGAAAGACTTCTTGGACTTTTTTACTGGTGCTTTCCAAGGAAACCAGTCATCATGTCTATTAATTAGCAGTAGGTTTTTTTTTTTTTTAAGAGAATATAATTAAGTTACCATTATGCTTTGGGACCAACACATTACAACTCAAAAACTCGATTTCTTTAACCTTACACTTAAAATGCTTTATTGCTCCAATTACTATTTCTCGAGGGCCCATTACATGCCAGGCACTGCCCTAAGCACTGGGAGTACAAGACAGATGATGCCCTTCCTCTCAGGGAGTTTATATTATTTTAATATAAATTCAAATTTTGATGTGCTTTCAAAACTAAATAAAACCCCACAAGAAATCAAGTTAGCCAAAACCGGTTTGGCTCAGTGGATGGAGAGTGTTGGCCTGAGGACTGAAAGGTGGGTTTGATTCCAGTCGAGGGCATGTGACTTGGCGGCACATCCCTGGTAGGGAGTGTGCAGGAGGCAGCTGGCCAATGTTTCTAGTTCTGTCCCTCTCCCTTCCTCTCTGTAAAAAATCAATAAAATATATGGAGGAGAAGGAGAAGGAGAAGGAGAAGGAGAAGGAGAAGGAGGAGGAGGAGGAGGAGGAGGAGGAGAAGAAGAAGAAGAAAAAATCAGGTTAGTCCCCATTTTTACAAAGAAGCTTTCCAGGTGAGTCCCATCCAGGCCAGTTAGGAAAGGGTGCAAGGCCTGGGGATGTCTGGTCCAGGGAGCTTTTCCACCAAGAGAGGCCCAGGAAAAATCACTGGGCGTTTTAAAATACGAAGACTTCAAACTACTGTAAAAACATTCATCATTACAAAAGTTACGCCTCCAAACATCTGTTTCAAAAAAGATTTTTAGACAGTTTTTAATTTCCACAAATCCTCTTTTGAGGATCCAGGCTAGGCCATTTTCAAAGCCTGCTGGAGGGAAGGCTTTCCTGAAAGCCCCCAAGCCCTAGGTTTCTCCAGTTTGGGGGGAGGAGGGGGCGGAAGAGCTGCAGATGCAGCACAGGGCATCCACCAGGCGACCAGTCACATACCTGGCACCTGGCACGACTCCTTTAAGTCCAAGATATCCCTGACGTAAAGTTTTGCAAAGGCTAGAAACACCGGATCCAAACCCCACATGAGGGAAGGGGTCTCCTCCTCACCCCGGCTGGATTCAGACTGCATCATCGGGAGGCTGGGCTGTGGCTTGCAGCCAATCCTGAAAATCTCACATCAGTGAGTGGAGAAATCTAGACTGGAGACAAAATCAGGATGCAAGGCGGTTAAAGTGGGTGAAATTGGCGTGGCCCCTACGCTGATGGGGGCGGGCGGGCACCCAGAGCTCCGCAGGGGCTCAACCAGGGGCCGGGGGCCTGTCACACTGCACGCCACGGGCCTGGCTTAGGAGGCGTCTCCCGCGTGAGGACATGTCAGCTCCTTAGAACTCTCCCCTTGGAGTCTCTTCTGCCCCACGGGAGGGTGTCTCCTTCCCCCCAAAAGTAAACACCAACTTTTGCCCTTTGGGGAGATGGGTCCAGACAGGCGTAACCAGAAGCCGCTCTAACGGGTGGGGCCCGCTGAGGAGTTGGCGCCCTCGTGGCCGTACACTGGTGGGGCACAGGGGGTGGGTGTGCCCGTCGGTCTGGTCCGGCACTTTCCGGCTTTCCGGATGTGACTGAGAAAAGAAGGCGAGCGGAAACCGAGAACAGACGTGCTCCGTAGTCCCGATGGCCGCGCCCGCGCTGCCGCCCTCAGATCTCCGGAGCGCGCAGGCGCGGCCCTTCCGGCACTCCGGATTGGTTACCTCTGAAGTTCCGGCGGGGCCGACCCCGCCCTCGGGGCGGGACCAAAGCCACGTGTCTCCGCCCAGGCCTTTCCTCCCGGCCGCCGCGGTCACGCCCACCAAGCCCACGGTCACGCCCCACGCTCCCTTCCAGGTGGCTACGGTTTGCGAGGCACTGCTCGGGCAGCTCTCCTGGTCCCGCCACCCGCCCGGAACCCGCGAGTCTTCGTGGGAGCGCAGAGCCCAACTCTCCCAAGACCTTGGGATCTGGCTTTGAAATTTCTACTGCCTAAACCCGGCGCTCAAAGTCACCCTTTCACTCCCCCCGCACCTCCCCATCCCCCAATACACACATCACACATAACACAAGAGAGGTTGGGATTGGTTCGGACAATTTTTTTTTTTTTAAGGGCGGTTTTTCTGATATATTAAATGAAAAAAATAAATAAAGCAATACCAAAAGCAGGATTGCATTCTGACATATTTTAAATGCTAATTTACCCTTGATAAATGACCGTCCTAACACATGCTTTGGGATTCTACTTGGAGATAATGTCAATATCTAAATTTGAGCCTTTATATAAATGTGAGGTTCTCCTCTTACTTTGCTACACTCTGGGTTGTTATACATTTAAGAATTTTAAAAAGCTGGCATTTTTTGGTAGTAAATTATGGCCACCTTGATGGTGCTTGTTCTCAGTAGTCCTAATTTAAAATGAGGAAAGATAGCCACGCTCCACTCCCATGAACAGATAAGCACATCATGACGTTACATGAGATTGTAATTCTTCCTAATTTACGGGGACTATAAAATGTCAAGAGTACTCTGGCAGGCCATTCCTGGGATGGTAGGTGGTAGCCAAAGCGATCATTGCTAACCCATTAGCGGAGAAGGAACTCCAAGCAGCTGGAATGGAAAATGTATGTCATTGGAACGATGGCATTTAATTACATCCCTAGCCACTGAAGAAGCTAAAAAAAAAACAAAAAAAAAACAGTCCTTGGTAAAGCACAGCATTGCCCAAATTCTATTGCCATGAACAGTTGGGTCTGTGGAATTGAGAAGACACCCTTTCTAGTAAGGAGAGACTCTCTTGGAGCAACAACACCCAGGAGGACACCCTGTAGGACAGTGCCTCCAGCTGACCTTTTGGGTGAGAGACAGGTTGGGTGACATTTTCATGTCTGCACACATCTGCTCCAGGGTGGAACCCAAGAAGAAAATCAGTATGGGTGTGCTCAGAGCCTGAGGAGAGTTTGGAATGACTGTCATGGTTTTCAGGGGCAGAGTGCTGAATGCTAGAAACAAGGGACCTTGTGGATTCCATGATTACTGCCAGCTTTGGGGAGGGCCACACCTGGGAGAAGGGGTGATTGTGAGCAGACCAGGAAAGTAGGACTCCTTGGACTTTAGGGATGCTTCTTTTGATCTGAGCCTAAAACATAAAAGAGTCTGTTGTAGCTGAAACCTAAGGTGAGATGTGTAACAGCCTAAGGTGAGAAATGGAATAGAATTTCTAGACTGCACAGGCATCTAGAAGAGTTTGGAAGGATCTTCTTCCCTGACATCTCTATCAGGAGAGATTCCAGATTCCCCAAATCACTGCTTACCGATAGGCAAAGGGACTTCTGAAACCATTAACACTGGAAGGCTCTTCAGCTTGAGATTTCAAAACCCTGCATCCCTGGCCAGATAGCCCAGTTAGTTAGAGCGTGGTCCTGATATACCAAGGTTGTGGCTTTGATCTTCTGTCATAATACATAGAAGAAGCAACCAATGAATGCATAAATAAATGGAAAATGTGCGCTCGCTCTCTCTCTCTCTCCCTCTCTCTCTCTCTCTCAACCAATAAGTAAAACTTTTCAAAAAGCCTCCAAAGCAGATATACTTCAAAATTCAATAGTCAACACTTAATGCTGGGAACCTTTTTTATAGCTTCTTAATGTGAAATAATTTGGTTTTGAAAGATTTTTTTGACAGACTGGACAATCTCTTCTAGAAAGTTAAGATTTTAGCAAACTTATCTGGAAAATGAGGTTGAATTATCTCCAACCTCAGAGCTCAAAAAACCGGACTTAACCATTTCTGATATTTTTACAGGTAAAACAGTGTTTGCCCATTTGCAATTGGGTTAGATTTCGTGTTCAAAGTTTATAATAAAGACAGCTTATCAACATTCTTATTATGTTAAGGTTATAACCCTGGAGGGCCACCTTTAGTGACTCAGCATACCTTGGGCACTTCCTGTGTGCTGTGGGGGAGCATTAAGAATTTTTATTTCACTGGAGCGAAAAAAAATGATGCATGTAATAACAAAGCAAGAGCCTACATTGTGATGAAATACAGAATATGTGGCCTGCATAATAATTACTGTATGGGTTACAGGAGGTAAACTGAGGGGCAGGGGCTCATTAAGTAAGGTAACATGTACCCACCTGAGCAAGATAAGCACTCAGTCCACGTAAACTGTTATTATTATTATTATTATTCACTGTGGAGATGGGATTTAAGCTGGGGTTTGAGGCTATGGAGGAGTTGTTCATTCATTCATCATTCATGACACATATTTGTCAAGCATTTTTCAAGATACTGGGAGTAAGAAGAAGATGACACAGATCGGGTTAAGGACTAGTGGAGCTTCCATTCTGTTGGGGGAGGAGGAGGACAGTAAATAAATAAATTAATGAAATAAGCATAGATTATCTTCAGTGTTTCCAAGCAAGTAAAAAGTGTATTATAATCGCCCAAATGAAAGTGTGGTGTTTACTTTATATAGATCTGTTTCAATCGAGTCAGGTAAAGTGACATTTAGGCTGAGACCTGAAGGATGAAGAGAAGCCAGTCATGCAGGAAAAAATGCTAAGGAAAGAGCATTGCAGAGAGCAATCAGAATGTCTGGAGGCAGGAGAGAACTTCCCAGTTGTAGGAACAGAAGAGCGTAGGGGAGAGTGGTCTTGAAAGCAATTGGAGAGATAAGCAGAAGGCAGATCCCAAAGGACCTCGTATGCCATGATAGGTTGGGATTTTAGTCTCAGTCTCCCTCTATGTAAAGAGGGGGGGAATATTATGATGAGGTGGGAGCAAGGCAAAGGCAGCAGGATGAGCAAGGCACGTTTGTGGGCAAGCCAACAGAGCAGCTGGCTGAAGAGAGCTGCAGTGGAAACAGCTGGAGACCAGGATTTTAGCTAGATTCGGAAGGGCTTGAATTAATTTCTACTTTTATTCCTTGTAAGCAATAGGGTGTCTTTGATTATTGATCAGAGGAGTGATTTACTTAATTTTTAAATATTGCAGGCATACCTGCCACATCTAACATATTATGGTAAGGAATACAAAAAGATTATAAGAAGACTTCTCTATCCAATTTACAGATTCTATTTTAAAACTGTCTTAGGCCCAGCTGGAGTGGCTCAGTGGTTGAGCATTGACCTATGAACCAGGAGGTCACAGTTCGATTCCTGGTCAGGGCACATGCTCGGTTTTCGGGTTGCGTTTTTGGGGGAGACCGGTTGCTGACTTTCTCAATCAGCTATGGCTGGAAATACCTGATGGTAGGGTTCGTAGTTAACACAGGTCCTTTGGGTCAAGTATAATGTGTTAGCTCAAGAAATAAAATTCAGTGAAGGACTGAATTGTAGAACAAGGTCAGAAATTACCTAGCTGGGAAAGCAGTTATTTACATCCTTCCTCATGGAGTTTTAAGTCGATTTCTAAGTCAGTAGGAGACATGTAATTTACTGGAGCATTTCCTGGAATGAGAAGAACCAGAAATGATGTCAAAGGATGGCTGAGTGTGAGATACCTTCTAGGTCTTAAAGACCTAGAAAATAACTTTTTCATTAGGAACACGTGTCTCAAGAGCTTGAGTTGAGCGCATGAGAAAGAATTTTGCATTTTGTGTTTTAAAAGTCTGGATCCTGAAGAAAGTAGAATGGTGGTTGCCAGGGTCTGGGAGGAGGAGAAAATAGGCAGTTATTGTTTAATGGGTAGAGCTTCAGTTTTGCAAGATGAAAAGAGTTATGGAGATGAATGGTGATGATGGTTGTACAGCAATGTGAATGTACTTAATACCACTATACTGTGTACTTAAAAATTATTAAGATGGTAAATGTTACGTATATTTTGTCACAATAAAAAAAATGGAAGAACGAGTTGTATCTCAGGGAGATGCTGAACATGGTGTGGTTTGTACTATGTAAACCTATGTGACAGTCACCTGTGCACCACATTATACCTGGTCACTTAAGTCACAAATTCACCCAGTGTCTTGCCAAGGGTGGAGGTTCCTGTGTGTACTGGGAGGTTTATGAGATAGGTGGACTATTTGGAGTTGGACTCATGCTCATAATGAGCGGAGTGGAAACAATCATGCCTTGTTCTTCACCTAAGTCTTTGGATACACAT